AGGTGAAGCGTGACCCTAACACCTTCTCCATGCTGCAGCAAGCTTCTAAAGACCCTCAACCCCTCCCTCAAGCCTGACCCTTTCTGCACGAAGACCAGTTGCATCATGCAGCTAGGGCATATGCCTGGAAATAGAACGCAAGACTGATTTACATGAAGAAGATCTTGCCTAAATCAGCCTAGTCGTGAGCACCAGAAAATGGGGACCCCTAATATGCATCCTTTCCAGTATAAGCTTGATATAAGGCCTCCGGAAAGGGATCCCAAATCCCCTTGAACCCATCAGTTCGAGAGCACATCGCATCGCCACACCGAGGCGAGCCTATGGCCAGTTCCAGCACACCCTCGCCTGCTGAGCCACAACACTTGAAAGGTGAAGGGCTCATTTAGGCATGTTTCGGGCTTAGGTATCTGTAAACCCCTGATCAAATGGCTACCTGTCTATCAAGGTCTATAGTTGTCAGGCGTCTACAACTAGACCTACAACTAGGGTGCAAGGGACGGGTGGCCTAGCATTTCGGCAGCTTCAGAGGCTGGGATTGAAGAAGATCTCTCAAAAAAAGGGGCGAGGAGGGTCTTGGGTAACTTGGTTGGGTATATATCGCAGTACAAGTATGCAGTCGAAACTGATGAGGGTTCCTTAAGCGGTATGTTGCTTCTGTGTATACGGACCAAAAGGGTATGTCAAGGGGGATATGAGTCATATGAGTACTACTGAACAAGAGATCCATTTCAGTGGTCTAGGATCAAACATCTCGGACACAATCTAGACGAGGCTCCTGCGGAAACTCCATTACAGGGGGGTTCCCACAGCTCCTCGAGCTGGCAACACAACAAGCCTAAACCTGAAGCCCTAGACAGAATACATAACACCAAGTTCGGTCGGCGATATTGCGTTGCGGCGATGCCCCGGTTCTGCCGGGCTTTGTTGGAGTCTCACCAGCAGCAATGCAACAATCAATGAGTCCTATACTTATAAGTACCTAAACCCCCCAAAGTAAGTAGAAACAATGGCCCAAGATCATTGAAAGGCTATTGTTATACATACTTTACGGGTCCAGGTAACAGAAATACGAGCTGCAAAGAACGACAATGATTGGGTTAAATGCCGCGAGGTTCAAGGGATCCTAACTTTCGAGTGGCTCTGGGTCTAACCCCTTACTCGGCCCGAAACCCTCGGCCCCGAAAACAAAGCCCTAAACCCTATCTGAATGTACAATGAACCACTCTTTTGCACGTGGCTCCCTGAACCCCCAAAAGAAACCAGAGAGCTGGACACAACGGAGGTCCCTGGTGTTTTGGCTTGTGGCCCAAGTGCTTCGGTTTGGGGGTAAGGCGTAGGCTTCTGCCAGACAAGGTTTCTTTGGTGTAGGGGGCTTGCATTTGACAACTGACATCCCCCAATTCGGATAAGAACCCGCTACCACTGGGTTTTCGACTGAAGGTCCTCCAGGAGAACATCGCACAAGACCCAACTATAGATCCTCAACACTCCTAAGCAAAACACGTAAAACCCTAAACCCTACTATAACATTCCCCCTTTAATTTAGAAAATCTCCCCTTGTGAGTGGGGGCATTCTGAAAGAAAATGAACCGCCTCCACCCGGAAGCGGCTCAACGCCGCGCAGGAAGAGAAGAAGTCCGGAACCTGAGACGCGAGGTTGCGGGGCCGAGGGGTTTTGGGGGTTTCAGCACTCACACTCGGACAGGCTAGAGGTTTTGGGGTTTGGGGTTCTGAGGTGCTTAGGGGTTTAGGGGTTCAACGGCTTACAAGTTTAGGGGCCAGGGACATTCAGGGTTTAGGGGTTTTAACTCTCGCAACTCCGACAATGCAGGCGAGGTGAGGTTGGATCGGTCCCCAGACGCAGTGGTTTAGGGTTCAGGTATGTTCAGGTATTAGGAGGGGTTTAGGGTTTAGGGTTTAGGGTTCAGGGCTTTGGCCCAAGAAGGTCTGTGCCCCGCTCCAAAGTTCACCCTCCCGGGAGCACGGTGACGTGGCTGAGACTCCGAAAGTAACACACGCTGTCTCACTATATCCGCTGGTAGCGGAGCAAAGGGAACACAGGGTTTACAGACACTGACAGGGCAAAGACCATGCAGTCCGCATATGGGGATTTCCGAAAATAGGGGACCCTAATATAGTACCCTAAATGGTAGGATCCTTATTAAAAAGAACCCTAAAATAAGGTACCCCCTCTTGTCGGAAACTCCCATATTTCAGTAAGGAGATCTAAGGTAAACCCGAAACTCGGAATGGCAAGGACCGTCAGGCGGTGTGTGTCGTCTGTGCAGGCGCGGGCCATCATGAGATCCTTTCTGATCCTAAACCCTATAAACTCAACAGGAACCCCTAAATCCCTAAACCCTAAACCCCTGAACCCTAAACCCCTAAACCCTAAACCCTAAACCCCTAAACCCCTAAACCCTAAACCCTAAAGCCCTAAACCCTTAACCCTATAAACTCAAAAGGATCCCTGAGCGTCTGCGCAAAAAAGGAGCAGCTGAGTTGTCCAGCACTGGTCCTAGGGGGACTGAAGGTTCAATTTCGAGATTATAGCGGGGTTGCAATATCCCGCAAAAAGGTTACAAGGTTACATACTCCGCGTCCACAGAGTCCGCGTGGTGCGAGCTCTGATCTGCAACTGCGGCCTCGTTTTAACCACAAACTGATAATCTTTGACTCCATGTGCCACTTGACCATGCACTGCGCACGCGATCCCCTACGAACCCCTGTAATGAAAAAGGACGCCGGGCCCCAAAACAGTTTTTTTTGGTGGGGGTTCCAAAAGCTATAAACCCCAGGCAAAAAAAACAGACGATTCCCCGATCGAACCCCTTCCAGCCAGGTCCCTCGCCCGACCCGCTCTTGGTCGGCGCGGCCTCCTCGAAGCGAGAGCTGCGGTAAAGTGTCGCCTGGGTCTTTGTTCAGGCGCCGGAGAAGGATGGACAGATGGATGGATAGGGCACAGGAGACTGCAGCTAAAGTTCGTTTAACGCACTTATGGTGTCAAACATTTTTTGAGCATACAATCTGGGGCTTCACGGACTAGAAAGCTTTGAGCTTGCAGGGCCCTGCACCTTTTTTTTTTCGGCTTCGGGCTTGAATTATGAAGCCGGATCCGCTCGAGGTTGGCCAACGTGGGCGCCGCCTCAAGGCCTTAATAGCTAGAAACCCTTAGCATCAAAATAGCCCAAAAGCCTTATATAATAGTGTCTTTGGGCCCAAAAGCCTTCAAATATGAGTCCTTTGAAGGTAAGGGAAAAGGATCGTGGGGTATAAACCCTAAATCCTAAACCCTAAAAACCCAAAACTCTAAACCCTAAACCCTGAAAACCCTAAGCCCTGTGGGGTATATGCTACTTGTGCCGGCTTCTATCTATGTTTCGAAGCAGCGCCGAGGGCCCAGCAACGCCAGTGGGCGCCCGGAGCCCACAAACCCGCCTCGGCATTTGAGGTGCTGCGGGCTTTAATTGGGCCTAAACCCTAATTAAACAGTTTTTAAACAATTGGGGTCTGGGGTTTAAGGATGCGAGGTTTAGAGTCTAGAGTCTAGAGTGTTTGGGGGGTTTTGGGGGGCTGTTGGGTTTGTCGGAGTAGGGGTTTGGGTTTTTGCAGCTAGGGACTGTCTCCGTAATGTGCAGTATGACCCAGAGGAAGGATTCGTGTTTAGGGTCTGGTGCTCAGGGTGCAATGTTTCTCATTACGGAGACCTATTAAGTATGGTCCAGGCAGCTCCGTACACATACATACACCGTCACATCACATCACATCTGCTATATCACATTGCATTACATTGCATTTCATTCATAACCGAATTTAACCGAATGTACATATTACACTACAGTACATTACAATACCTTACACTACATTTAAAGTTGCGGAACATGCATGCAAGCATCCACACATCCGCACATACATGTATATACAGATGTGCAAACCTAGGCCCAACAACAACTAAACCCTAAACCCTAAACTCTAGGCCCAACGACAACAGTTCCAACCCTTAGCATGACTTCCTGTGAACTCCCTGTGAACTCTGAGCTCTAAACCATTTGACCAGAAGCCGCAACAGTACCTATGCTGTGATTGAGAAGCGTGAAAGATTACGGTAATGCATACAAATACTATTCCTTGAGGTTCCTTGTTGTAATGATCATTCGGCATTTTTCTTCAATGAGCCCAAAAACCTCATTCTAAATATTAAGGCCCCTATGTAATGGAACAAAGGAACATCTAAAGGACCCTGCTCGGTAGTAGCTGCCGCCGCGCGGCTCGTTTCGCTGTGCCTGCTTCTCCCATTCCTTGGCCTGTTTTGGGTTTTACGCGGGTTTAGCACAGGGGGGCCTTAGAACTAGAATAGGTTCCAACAAGATTTTTTCGCGGGGTTCTCCCAAGCGTACAGTAGGTTAACATGACGTTGGGTTGGGTTTTCAGGCCGGTGGCGGCTAGTGACAAAGAGATTTTGGCCTGCCAGGCTTATCAAGGATCCTGGGAAGAGGACATGTCCAAAACGGAGTTCATTGAGGCCTCCGGATGGAAGCTTCTATGGCTGGCTAGGTATGGCGGGTCTTCGGATCTATGGAAAACCGGCCTAGGTTTCACAAGAAGCGATTTTAGCGAAAGCGGTGGCTGCACAAAAGCCGACGGCCAAACACCGAGACCTAAATCCTACATCTGGAATTGCCTGCACACCTAAGAAAGGATGCGCTCGCTGCGAAACATATACAGAGGAGCAAACGAGTAGCTAGGAGAACTCATCTTTACACGCTCGTTTTTACGAGCCCGCTTGTACGACTTTACTGTAGGATATGTTACGACGAGTGATATAGCAGCCTGAACTGAACAATTACCATTATGCTGAACCCGTATACTACCTCCCGACATACTAACCCAGGCAGGTGTTAAAGGAACCCTTTATGGGAACCGTATTCAGCTGATCTACGGGAGGCTCCTGCACTACGTTCCAAAACTCTGAGCTCCATGTTCCAATCCATGCACGCCTTCAGCCCGAGTGGGACGGCTTTGTAGTCGTCCAGCTGCAACCAACTGGGTAGCACCCACTCAACCTGGCATCGTGGCTTTTTAGGGTTCAGAGTTTAGGCTTGTGCAGACGCGAATCTACCTAGCCTACTAGTTACTAGTACTAGACCATCATGCCCTGGAGAAGCATGTTGGTAGAGTCTGATCAGGAAACTCGCAGTAGGAATGCGACGACAGGGCATTCGGGTTCAGGTTTCGGATATAGGGTTCGGGGATGGTTTCGGAGCTCAGCACTCGGAGAATCTAGGGTTTGGGGGGATTGGTTTACGCTCTCACAACTCGGGCAAGCCAGATGAGGTCTCACACTTCAAAGTCGGCTGAAGGGGTCTAGGGTTTTAGGGTTTAGGGGTTTTTTCCCTCTCGCATGGCTAAGGATCTATGCCCACAAGCAGGGTTTAGGGTTTTTTAGGGTTTCGGGTTTAGGGCTTTTAGGGTTTAGGGCTTTTTCCCTCCTAAGGGTTTAGGGTTCGGTGATTGATGGGCTCAGGGACAGTTACATCTCCACAAATCCTCAAAGTCACTACCAAACTATAAGACTTTGAACCCCGGCTTTGTCTTCTCACCTCCTTTGCCCCCGTGTCACTCTCCTCCAGGGTCACTTCCTGGCATGCGCAAGTGGCCCCACAGGAAGGTAGTCTGCAAAGCGAAAAACGCCTGCATGGACGCAGAATGAACAACAAAGGATGCTGTTAAGCGGTCCGTTTCTACTTCATGAGACTCAATAATCATCAATGCCCAAGGAATTGCACTGCCCCTCATCCGGTTCAAGCTTCGTTCCGGCGGAAGGTAGGATTGGGAGTTTACTGTGCAGGGACCTGAGAGAGGTCTTCATACCTAAACCCTAAAGGCCCTAAACCGATCTTCAGACGAATCCGAACATCCCTTTTGTTGCATCCAGGCCTCTTCGAAGTGTCGCGTACCCCCAGATGAAACCAGGAAAGTCTCACGCATCGTGGCGCCATGCATGTTGCACAGGCGAGATCCAAACAAACCCCTGCATCCCTAAACCCCCAGACCGCAAACGCCCAGAAAAAACTGCACTACGAGCTTAGAGCTTGAGGTCTTAGGGCTTTGGGTCCTGAAGCTTTCTCGGATTGCTTCGATCAATCCTTGAGGCCGAAGGCCTAAAGCTTGTCCGGAGGACGGAAGTCCTCCGTCCTAACGGGGATCTCTAGATCCGTTATTGGGGGGTCCAACTGAAATCTAAATCCCCCAAAAGTAGGTAGAACCATGGCCCAAGAACTTTCAAAGGCGATTATTTTACATACTTTTGGGGGTCCAATTGAAACGAGTTGCCTAGATTGGGATCCTTCTCTTTGGAACAAGCCCACGTGCGACCAGCCTGCAGGCAAATCACGTCCGCCTCGCTCCGGTGCAATATCTGCAACAGTTGCCCAACTAAGGCAATCAGCACATTGACATTTCTGATCCCACTGCACACACCATAGTTCTTAACCGTGTTATGTACGTAAGGCAGGTAGGCAGGCAGGCAGGAAGGCACAATGACACACGGACATGGATCCACGTACCACCACACACATGCATGCAGGCATACCTGCATACATGCATGGATGTGTACATGTCATGTATGCATACATACATACATACATACATGCATACATGCAAACACATATACATACATATATGCAGACACATACGCTACATAGCATTGTCGTGAATTACATTGTAGTTACATCACTTTACACTCTGCACCCAGGCATGCACACACAGCAAACACAAGCGACAGTTTCGTAATTTAGTATCAGCTTAAGCCTGAAACCCCCAGAACAAGTTAGGTCCGATGTCCGTAAGCACGTCCGGCTCACAGAGCCCGGGATCAAACCATATTTCGTCATATCTTCAAAGTTGGCACTTGCAACAGGCAACCCCACGCACAAACCCTCGCACGACCAGCTGAAGCGCTCTGTTTGCTTCGCTGGCTACGGTTTTGGGAGCGGCACCTCGAGCAGTTTCTCACGACGCACCGGCCAGTCGAGGATCTTATCCTGCCGCATTCAGGGCTCTTTTGGCGGGACGGGGGGCTCTTGGAATTTCGGGGTGCCCTTTTGGGGTCTAGGGTTTAGGGTGTAAGGGCGCCTAGATAGCTAAGAGTTTTTATGGGATAGAGCACGGGAAAACTACAATCAGGAAACCTGAGGAGCAATATTGGTACTGATTGCCTTGAGGGGCGCGAGCAAGCCGCTGCACACGTTGGGGCCATGCGGCGTGTTGCACTTTGGTCCAGAGTTTTCAGTTTTCGGGACCCAGAGTCCCAGGGTTTGCTTTGATCACATAACCTTCAGGGGGGTTTAGGAGGATTTCCAGCAAATTAGTCGAGTTTGGGCTATGCGCAAGGTATATTGTCAAAGTAGACAAAGTTGATTACGAAAACTACTGCTCACTTGGCAGACAATGGTTGCTTTCTCCAAATTGCTCCGCCTAGCTATGATTTCTAGTTGTCCAGACCAGCAGAATTCAGGATTTTTTCCACAAAAAGGGAACCAGGCATGAAACCATGAATAATAGGACTCTTATTGTCCGGCCCCCGGAGTAGGGTGCCCTAGTATAATCAGAAAGCTTCCCTCTAAACCCTAAACCCAATACCGCCGGGCCCGGGGATTTCGCTACAATGTATCCAAACCCCTGTTCTAATCAAGGTCCTCGTGCTCTCCCTGGGGGATAGTCTTACGGGGCTCTCGGCGGTTTCACAGCCAATACATCTTGACGACCTCGGAAGCATGGTCCGAGCACGCGTTGAGGTTGAGCTCCGTATGCCCTTGGGCCCTAACTCCTAAACGGTGGAAGTCTGAATAAACCAGATCCCCTAATGCCTAAACCCCGAAAGCCCAAACCCTTACCCCAATACCCTAAACCCTAGTACCTTCATAATCTTCCTTTCGGGTTTAGGACAAACCACCAGCGTCCTCACAGTGTGGGAATGCATTCCAAGGCTGCCCATCCACGCCTAGGCCCAAACAAAAACTAGGGTGCTTGCATGGGGTTGCAATTATTTCTAAGCGCCCTGGGTGGTCTGGAGCTTAGGGGGTGCAGGCTTTTGGAATTTAGGGTGCAGGATTTCGGCCTTCAGACTCACATGCATACACACAGGCATAGACATAGACATAGACACTCATGCACATTTGTACATTCATATCTACATACATACATACATACATACATGCAAATATACGTCCATGCATCCATACATACATACATACATACATACATACATACATACATACATACACACATACATACTTACATACCTACATCCATACATACCTACATACATATATATATATATAAATCGCAACAGATAAACCAATAAAGATAAATTAAACATGTGAAATTCTTCTATATGTTGATCACGTGCATCTGTATATATATATACCACATCTGTATATATATATACATACATACATTATGCTCATTTGCTTAAGTGCTGTATGTGTGTATAAAACTGTTACTCGCACAAATGAAAAGAGCGTGAGTGAGTGAGTGAATGAATGCGTGAGTGAGTCAATGAATGAATGAAGAGATGAGTGAAAGAGTAGACGGATGTATGTATGAACGGATGCATGGATGGATGAATGGATGAATGGATCAATGGATGGATGAATGGATTCTTGAATGAACGAATGTATGTAAACGTCTACCCGTCCGTATGCATGTATCTGTGTCAGCAGGTCTGCATGGAAGTAAGTAAGTTAGGTCACAAGTAAGACAGCAAGTGCGGACGGAGAACATGCATGCATGCTTGCATGCACCCATAAATATAAATGCACATGTCAAAATAAACAACTCGAAAATCTAAATATACGAGTACATAATACATAAAAGGAAATTAAAGGAAATAAATAAGTATAAATATACATACATACATACATACATACATACATACATACATACACACATACTTACATACATACATACATACATACATACATACATACATACATACATACACACATGCACACAGAGACATACGTACAGACACACAGAGACAGACATACATACATACATACATACACGCATGCAGAGACACAGGGACAGACAAACAGACAAACAAACAGACGGACATGCATGCATGCATGCATGCATGCGCACGCACACACACACACAGACACACGCATATATATATATATGTGTGTGTGTATGTATAGTTTTTATATGTTTATACAATCTTTTTTTCACAAACATTTGTATGTGTATATATATATATATGTATGATGTGTGTGTGTAAAAAGTGCTATGTATACATACATGCATACATACATACATACTTACTTACTTACTTACATTTTTAGCACTCGCGCTCGACGGGTCAGGCGAGGTTCCAGGACAACTATCGAACTTACCATACATACATACATACATACATACATACATACATACATACATACATACATACACACACACACATACATACACACGCACACATACACACATGCGCTTTTGTGTGTATGCCCATTGCTTGTGCTGCTCAACTTCTTGCTGCTTGACGTGGTACTAGCTTTGCGACTCAGTAGGCGGTCATAAACCAGAACTACGACTTACAACTGGAAATACGGCAACGATGGCAGCTGCGACGGCTAGGACAGTGACAAGGACGAGGATGACAACCCCTACCACGACCACTGCCACCGCAATCACCACAACCATGACGACAACTACGACCACCACCGCCGTCCTGTCCCTTACTGCACTAGGCAACTGATTTTCTCCTACGTTGAATCATCCGATGAAGTCATCGCGAACAACATTAACCTGGGCCCTGCTTCCGACATTGGCATTAGCAGGGCTATGTCGACTCTTTCAGCAGCCCCGGCTTAGATCGAACACCATCTGTTGTAGCAGACTGAAAATTGAAAAGGAAGCGGCACCTTGCAAGCTAGAAACTCAAACCCGTCACACTGGAGCAGCATGGCAACTTTTCCGGTCTCATCGCTTGTTCGTTGTAGTGAGACGCACTTTAGTGCCCGCGGCACGGGTCAAATACGTATAATACGATGTCCGATACTTGCAAAATCGCCGCTTTGCTCTGTCTATGCTTCTCGAGCTCAGAAGTGGATGAGCAAGTGCCTGTCGCTGCCACTTACCACCACCCCTTGCCACCGCCGCAGCCACCAGGACCCCAGCCTTTGGCGCCACCAGAGCCCCAGCCTCCGCTAGCATCGCCCCATCCCTTGCTGGTGACAGGGCCAGAGGCACCCCAGCCCTTGCCGGCACCACCAGAGTCACCCCAGCCCTTGCCGGACGTGCCCCAGCCTTTGGCGCCATCGCTCCACCCCTTGCCGCCACTGCTCCAACCCTTGGCAACAACTGGAGCACCGACACCTTTTCTTGGTCCAACAACTTTGGGACCGCTGCCACCGCTTCCGCCCCAATCCCCTCCGGCCCAGCCTCCTCCGCCCTTCTCGCCTCCACCCCACCCTCCCTTGTCCCCTCCACCCCAGTCTCCTCCGCCTTTCTCGCCTCCACCCCAGCCTCCTTTGTCACCTCCGCCCCAGCCTCCGCCTTTGCCCTGGCCACTCATGCTCGACATCATCGCTGCCATCATTTCCATCATTCCCTTCATGCCACCCTTCATGCCCTTGCGCCGCGACCGCGGCGTGGCATACGCCACCGTGACTGGGCCTGCCATTCCCTGAGGAACATTGCCGTTGACGTTCTCCACGATCCATTTGGCATCCTCCAGGGAGTTCATGTCCACGAAAGCGGCAGCCGCTTGCTTGCCGGCGGCCACAGGCAAAACTTTCACCTCCTTTATGCTGCCATACTGGCTAAAGATCTTCTTGAGCAGATCGTCGGTGACATCGGTGGGGAGACCAGACACGAAGAGCTCATCACTGGGAGGCTGTGTCATTGGGCCACCCATCTCGGACAAGTGCTTGGCTAATCGAACAAAGCTCTTGACAGGGTTGCCTGGCTCAGACATTATGATTGAGAAGCGCGTTTCGAACCTGATGTAGTGACATGCACGATAAGATGGACTCTGGGTTGGCTGTCATGCCGGCAGCTGGCATATATTTATATTGTCAGGCACGTCTGTGCGCCAAACGCCTCTACAACCTGCAAGAAGCCAACGGCGCGTGCAAGGAATGTTCAGCGAATGCAAAGGCAAGTATGTTGCTGTTCGATGGCGTGCAGGGCTGAACAGCTATCTCGCTCTCTCAATCCGCAGCAACTCTAGACCTCGAACCTCCTTCCTTGCCCTGAGTCGGGCTTTTTGGGCTGTCACGAGCCATGCTGAGAGGGTTTCGCGCACTCCACGGCGTTTGCCAGGAGCCTGAAATAGACAGGACGTCATGATGATAATTTCTCCGGGACCGGACCCGCCACTTGCTGTGGGGTCAACAGGGCCACGGTTTGGTGGGGGGGGGGGGGGGGGGGGGGGATATATTCCAGCAACGGGATAACTACTGCTTCAAGCCCCTACTAGATCAAGCGGTACAGTTTAGCATTTGGGAAAGTCTGGGGCCTTGAAGGTGGTTTAGGGTGCAGATGCAAAAAAGCCATAAATCTTAAGCGACCCATGCCTGGTGGGCTCTTCACATGCACATGCAGCCCAGTGCATGGAGCCGAAATGAAATCGGTCATGACTTATACCTTCGACCCCAAACTTCAACACCCCAAACCCTAAACCTTAACCCTTGAAGGCAGGCTGCTCAGTCGTCCACATTCTCTCACAGCTTCAACCACCAGCCCGGTCCCAGGTGCTCCACTAACGCTCTGGCTGGCTTCAGTTTTGGATTCAAAGATGCAGCGCGAAAGGAAAAGAGTATGGAATTTCAATATGGAAACCTCAAGACATATAGGGGAGGGGGATATCGCAGCATCTAGGTAGCAGGGAAGCCATGAAAATAGTATCAGTTCTATTCAGGTTAAGGAACAGCATCAGCTATATTAAGGCACCTTATAAGGAATAGTACTACTTAGATAAAGGATCTCTCTAAGGGGTATCCATCAGATACTAAGGAACACTAGGGCGCCAGAGAAAAGCTGCACCAAACAGCCCTCTACAGCCTTGGAAGCCACGACTAGCAGACGCAGGGTTCAGGGTTTAGGTCTCAGCTTTGGGGGTTTACCCAGAGGCTCTTAAGTAGTTCCTTTTTGGGGATTACCTTATAGGATTCTAGATATAAACCACAAAAAGGAACTACTTAGGAGCCTATGGGTAGGGTGTAGGGCCGAAGTTTAGGGTCCAGGGCTTGGGGCTTGGGGCTTACGTGGGGTGATCTGTGTCGTCTACACTTCAGGGGTTAGGGCTGTCTCCTGCATCCGATGACCCAAAACCCGTGCAGAGCTGGGGCACTCTTTGCATGCATCGGCCAAAATCAGCCGACAAGAGCTGCTTGAAAGATAGAAGCCACTTAGATCCAAACCCTCAATCGCGAACCGAGATTTAGCTGCTAAGTTCGTACGCGCCGAACGCCAACAAAAACCGTTAATGGCTGGTTTTATCAACCCCAAAACCTGTCAAATCCTAAACCCCAAAGGCTCTTAGGCTCCAAACCTCGCGCCTTGAGACTTCCAGGCAGACAGGGCGTACTTACTGCATCAGAAGGCTTTATTAGTAAACCAGCTAGATGTAAGTTTTAAGGAAGAGAACGCCGTCATTAGGGTACTCAAAACTCTACTTATGACCCACTCGCTGAAAGGAAGTCGTTTTGATCCGTTAAGCAAGCCCGAGAACCATCATGGAAGCTTTATAAACCCCGATTACTGGTTGGCCCTTTAAAGCCTCTGAACAAATAGTAGTAAATAGGGTCCTCTTAAGCCCAATAAAGGAAANNAAATATCCCAAAAGCCTACCTAGATTAGCGGTCGCTTACCAGTCCCCTGAGCCTCTAAGCAGGCTTCAGAGAACTGGCCCCCGGCACCCCCGAAAACGGATCAGACTGAAGACTCATAATTTTTGGCGTGCGTAGTCGTCGTCGTCGTCGTAGTAGTAGTAGCAGCAGCAGCAGCAGTAGTAGTGGTAGTAGTAGTAGTAGTAGTAGTATACTCTTGGGTTCTGGGTTTGGGGTTGAAGGATTGCTGTTGCCTCCTGCATCGCTTGCTCAGGAGGGCGAGCTGCCCTAACAAAAACACTTCTGAACACCCCATCACCCCCTTCTGAACCCCAAGCCTGCTAAAGCCCTAACCCCAAGCATCCTAAATCCCTAACCCCGGGCATCCTAAAGCCCTAACCCCGGGCATCCTAAAGCCCTAGCCCCGGATGGGCGAGCTTCAAGTTGGGGGGGGGGGGGGCATAGGTCTTAGGCCTTATAGGGCTACCTACTTACAAAGTTCAAAGAAGGAGAGAGATAGAGACAGAGACACGGTCGCTCGGGAAAACTGCGGATTTCTCGTCTTCTCTAGATTCCCCCAGGGTCCTAAATACCGACATAGTAGGAAGTAGGGTTTCTGTGGTGTGAATTACAAGTATGAAGTAAGTATCCCCCGTATAGGCGCCTTTGGGATTAGGATAGCTCACCACGAGGGGAGCCCCCCCAATTAAGAACCGTTGCTGTCTGGAAATTAAGCCCTCCTAAAAGCAGCACCCGATTTCGGGATGCTTTAAAAACATTACCGACAGGGCCTGCCCCAGAAGCTCCAGTCTGTCTCTCGAGTGAAGTAGAGTTGGCGGTCCTGTTTGACGGTTCCTTGCAGCAACCCTTCTAGTAGCCCCTACAGTAAATTGAAGCACTAAACTTAACCCTATGCTAGCTTAACGGTGCTGTGCCACGTCGGGGTGTCTTGGAGCTTCTGGGGCTACGCATGAGACAGGCGAACCGATCGGATCCTTACCTCCATGGGCTCGCGCAGATGCATGTAAAACTGAGCCATCCGGGACTCGGACGACTTGGCACGAGACCATTCGCCGACAGATGGGTAGTTCTCTAAAATATAGGGTCCCTTTTTCGGTCCCCGAAATAGTATACGGCACCCTTATAACAAGGACCCCCAAGAGGGGCCCTAATTTAGAGAACTGCCCAGTAATTCAGAGCACCGATAACAGAATCCCACCGTAAACGGTTTTAAGCCACTTCCTGCAAGTAAGAGCCGTCATGAACCCCTTTCCAGAGTTTAGGGTTTAGCACCCGAAGTCAGATATGCGACAGCGGACCAGGTTGGTATATGATATATATATATATATATACATGTGTGTATATATGTATATGTATATATATATATACATACATACACATACATAAATGTATATGTCACGTTTGTTCAACATACGTTCGCGATGTTTTGCGTTCGGGGCCATCCATTACTCTATGCACTGCTATATTATTCTGGCCCAGGGCACGGGGTTCGAAGAAGTCCGTTACTAGTGCCGCCTACAATGTCCCAGCCCTTTGGTCTCGAAGATATAAACTTCAGGGTTCAGGGGCGTGGGTTTCGGATTCAGGGTTTAGGATGCTAGACCCCGTGCCACCTAGCTCGATTGCATTCCGGCAACTTTCCCTGATAGTACCAGAGGGCAAGATGTAGACTTGAGGCCTCCCGCAATCCAGGATAGACTGAGGCCAGTACGAAGCACCACCGCCGCATCCCTCAAACACAAAGGAAAAGCTGTTGAGCGTCAGAGGCAGAAACCATCTGGATACAGTCCTGCCCAGATGGTTCGGCTACGATTATGTTGAAATTCCCCCCGAACTTCTTGAGGCCTGGGCCTAAAGCCTGAACGAACGAACGTGGGTCGTTTCAACCAGCACAAGCCATGTAGAATGGAACTTTGCTCTTCTAGGGGGAGATGGGAACTTCGGAAAAAGAGGGACGTGGGTAGCTCCCCCAGCCCTAAATGGGAGTCACTTAGCTGTGGGGGCTCATTTCTTGCAAGGGGTGGAATACTGCGGGGTCCGGAAATGCTTGGATTGGTGCTAATGCAACATGCCAAAGGTTGTTACCCAATTCTCTGTGAAATTGCCGCGTTTTGTCTTCTTCCACGAACCAGTTCGGAGCAATCACAAAGCTAGCTACCCAATTTACCAACGACAACACTAAACACTGCCGCTGCACCGACCAACCCGTCCAAAACCCTGCAACGCAATGCCCAAGACTCACAAACGAAGAGGAGTCTATACAAACTGTGTGTGTGTATATATAAATATATATACACATACGTACATACATCCATCCATCCATCCATCCATCCATCCATCCATCCATCCATCCATGCATCCATCCATGCATCCATGGATACATACAT